TCCATGTTATCTACTATACTACAAATGTATTCCGATTTTTATTGCTGCCACAGTCTACAGACAATTTCGGAACTGTTGATTGCAGTAGCAGTATTCTGTACTGTCAGTATATTTTTGGCGCATTTCGAAAAATACTCAATGTTACAAGTTCCCACATTACTCAAACTTACTTATCTGTTATTGATAGCGAAATAGAATAAGGGATTGGGTGAAAAAAATAATATGTGATACATGATACTAATGAAAGACTATATATGAATTAAAAACAAAATAATATATAAAAAAATAATACGACGATAACTAATATAACAAAATAATTGTAATAAAAAATGCAATTAATAAATGCAAAATAAAATTTCTTAATAGGAAACTTCTTGAAACTACTTGAAACTTTTTGAACAAAGGGAATGGCTTGTAAAAATGTATTCAAGAATAAGAATGATAATTATGTTACATCCAGACTCTTGAATAGATGTGTCATATGGAAGAACGTAACTTATTTACCCCGTGATACATTTTACAAGAACGTGAGTGATTCTGGTCCAACAAACTGTTTAAGCTTATAAGCTTTATTATTTTGCTATAGATTTTACAAGAACTATGTATGATAAGTAAATATCGCTATTTTTAACACAATTTATTTAATAAAAAAATATTTTCTATTTGATATTACCGAAGCAATGATGACTGAAAGTAAAATAAATAAATTAAATATCATGTGAATAATTTTGGATCAAAATTATTGTTCCAACATTCTAAGAATTTTTTTGACTATAGAAAGGATCAATTAATGTTTTAAAGCATATTTCAAAATGTACTTTCTTTGTATACACAATTAGCTCTGCAAATAAGATTTTTTTGTATAATTGAACTATTTCTGATGTGACAATTGCTATTGCACAATGGAACTGTTTTTCTAAATTTAATATGTGTGGATCGAAATTATTCACATATATTCTATTTATTTTACTTTCAGTCATTTCTTCGATGATATTTAATAAAAAATGTTCTTTCATTAAATAAATTTCAATAAACAAATTGTTTCGAGAATAACTATTTAATAGATATTTAATAAATATCTAGTTATCATGCATAGTTCTAATATGAAAATTATATATAGTCGGTCACGTAAACAAGATAATGAAACTTATGAGAAAAGATGTATGTACTTATAAGAAAAGGAAAATTAGTGAACAGTACAAACATGAGACAAAATGTTTTTTTTCTTTTTTTATCAGTTATTTTTTCTATATTTTTGACTAAATTAAAAGAGAGGAAGATTGTAATATTATATAATTTTACATTTTTAGTTCCATCAATTTTATATTGATTTTATATAGTTGAGCTTCATTAATAATTTAATATTTGATTTATAATTAAAAGTTAGATAATAGCTTATTTTTTTTATACATTTTTCCTTATTTTGTTATGTAATACATACTATATATATAGTTCTCTCAAAATAATTATATAAAAATGATCGATTTCCTTAATATGTCCGATTTGATCCTTAATGTGTGTGTGCGTGTGCGTGTGCGTGTGTGTGTGTGTGTGTGTGTGAAATACATAATTTTCCCTTATGTTATAATGGTTCGGGAATCATCATTCAGGATGAGGACAACCTAGATCGTAGAATTTAATCCTAACTGGTATTTGCAACATAATCTATTTTTTAATCTATTTTCTATAATCTAATTTTTTAAAATAAATAAAATTATAATAAAAATAAAAATATTAAAAGATCCAGCGGAGATATTATGTCCCATACAGCACAGAAGCTTGCATCAACATTGCTGCAATGTTACAAAATTGCTCACTGCAGTGTAATGTTGCAAAAATAATGTGGAGACATTATTTTATAATACTTTGGAAATGTTGTAGCAACATTTTAACATAGTGAAGATGTATAACATGTGTTTCTCTACTTATCGCTACGCGGCGACACCAAATTTAACTAATTCGTATTCGAACTCATTCAAAGTGGATAAGGTCAAAGGACTAATATAGTAATTATATTTTTTGAAACCCTCATTGGGTTTCAGAATAGATAGATCGATTTTATATTTGATACTGTTTACCATACAGTAACAATTTCCAAAAATAAAAAAATTATCTCTAAAAATAATTGACAAAAATATTCTCTCAAAAATTAATTTGTAAAAAGGATATAGAATTTTACAAAAAGATGTGATATCCTTCTAAAAAGAACTTTACAATGGTTAAAAAAATATGCCAAGTACATAAAAAATATTCCACCTTGTATGCAACAAAATGTTTAATGAAAAAGTCCTTAAAAATAATTTATAATAATTTTTCCTTACAAAACTATTTTTCTAAAAAACAAAACCTCAAAAAATAATTATCATAAAAAAATATATAAAAATAAAATATAAAGCTAAATAGGAAATCAATAATTACTATTATTTAAGTACCTAAGAGCAATTTGTAAATTTGATATAATATTTGCCTTGAAATCAATTTTATATTGTAGAAATATTATACATAAATTCTTCTTAAGAAATTAATACCTATTTTATATTTATTTAGAGAACTTAATTTTATAATGTATAATAAATATATGTATTTAAAATCGTAATCAAATACAAATTTAATATTTAATTGTATAATGTCTAAGATTTTACATTTTATTAGGGATATATTTGTTTAAAATGTAAACGATCCGGGCACGCCAAGTGCCCGTTTTCATAACTTATTTCAATTTAAAGACTATGCGATTTAAATCTTGCGTAACACGTTTTTTTTTTAATTATATACATTATATAAAAATGTTTTAGGAATTAAAAGAATTCTAATTCTCATTTAGTGTTGATTTTAAATATATTAATACTATCTATCCACAGATTTACACATCAAAATATTAAAATTCAACTTATAGACAATATTTTACGTGTATAAAAATCAAACTATTTCCGTCACACATACGCGCGAGATTTTCAACTTTAGTATTTCCTATCATTTGATTACATCGATCATTTACGACATAACAGAGATTCAATAACATATATTAATTAAAAAGAGAATAATGAAATATAGTATAAATAATATGTGCAATAGAAATACATAGCGATTTGATCTAATATCATTACAAAATTCCGTGCAATAAAATACTAAAGTTTTTTTTATCATGTATAATTTTTTATCATGTATTAATTTTCATGTATTGTTTATATGTACGACTCGGAATCGTCAACACTCGGTCTAATTGCTATCATTATTATACGGTCTTGTTAAGTAGTTATTAAACGATTATTATATAAAAAAAAAATATATATATATATATATAATATATATATATATATATATAAAATATATATAATATATATATATATATATATAAAATACATGATAAAAAATTATACATGGTATAAAAAAAGTTTAGCATTTTATTGCACGGAATTTTGTAATGATATCAGATCAAATCGTTATTTCTTCGTGCAATTATATAACTTATTTATATTATTTCTTATAAAAGTGTGTATTACCTTTGCTTTATTAATGTATTTCTATTCCACATATTATTTATACTATATTTCATTATTCCCTTTTTAATTAATATATATTTTATTGAATCTCTGTTACGTAAATGATCGATCAAATGATAGGAAATAGTAAAGTTGAAAATCTCGCGCGTATGTGTGATGGAAATAGTTTGATTTTTACACACGTAAAATATTGTTATTTAAATTTTATCCAAACAGATAAAATTGGATAATACTACTGAGAATCATATACTGTATAATAAATATCTATATATGTATGTAATACCAAAATGTATACACACAGATATATAATTTATTAAATAATTAATCATATAATTAATCATATAATTAATCATATAATTTATTAAATCGCTTGTACCTTTTTCGCAGAAATCTTACAACAGACACTAGTTCAATATTTTATTTAATCTGCTTACACACATTTCGCAAATCAGAACAGATTAGAAATTATTACTAAATGAGGATCAGGATTCTTTTAATTTCTAAAACATCTTTTATATAATATATATAATTAAAAAAAACGTTTTACGCAAGTTTTAAATCGCACAATCTTTAAATCGAAGTAAGTTATGAAAACTTGGCGTGCCCGGATCGTAATCAAATACAGATTTAATATTTAATTGTATAATATTTATGATTTTACATTTTATTGGGGATATATTTGTTTATAATGTAAACGGTACACAACAACGATAACTCGGACGTAAAAATGAAAGACACTTTCATAATATAAATCGTGTCGTAGCTTTCCATTAAGAAAAAATTATCATGTAATTGTTTTTTATATTCTCATTGAATAATTAACTAACATGCTTGAATAAATAAATTGATAAATAAATTAATGAAATATTAATTTATTAATAAATAAGTAAATATGGATTACTTAGATAACTGAATCAACAACGAATCTTGTCTTAAATTTCTGCGAAAGGTCCCATTCAATTTTTGCCCGGAGGCCCCCAATATTATAGCTACGCCACTGAATAGAGATACTATGCAGTATGTTTCAAGTTTCTTTATAATATTTCACGACTCCTACGCAAACAAACTACTTCTTTTTAAGTTAGATTTTATCAACAACATATTCTTTTTACTTCCCCAGTCAAAAATTCTTCTACAAACCACATGAAAAAGTTGTAAAAGGTGATAAAACTCTATAAACAAATTCAATAATATATAATTTTGAAAAAAGGTATTTTTCGAAAAACATAAAAATTATCCTGGTTTAAAACTACGCATAAATTTCCAAATAATATCTTCGCTAATTCGAGAATTCGAATTTAATAGGCATCGAGAATTTTCTCGAGTTTTCGATCCGTCAGAAAAACTCGATCGTTTCCGTTTTTTCTCATTTTTCTATCATCTAAGAAACGCTTGCCACGCTTTATAATAACATTGTCAATCGTTATTCGAATAGCTGATTGCCAATCAGCTTGAAAAATACTATGTATATGAACTAAAAAATTTTCTACGTCAAACCTCATCAGTGATCAATTATACGCAGTTGAAGTCACCGCATCAAATTTATTGGTCGTCCCTCATCGCCAAGGACCCCAAAACCTGCTCGCTATAAAACAGGCACCGCACGTGAGCACTTTGTAGTTCGCACTTAGCAATTCACAGAATTTTCGGCAAGTAAAACCGGTTTTAGTAAAACTACTCTTAGTAAAACCGCTCTTAAAACTGCTCGTTCTTATTAGTAAAGATATATGTCGCAAAGTTACGCCGCTATATTCGTCTTTAGACTTACCTCGACGTCTTCGTCATTTCAGTTCCTGAAACTTTGTACATTTTTTGTAAATATAATTTTATTTAATTGTGTGGTGTAAAATAAAAAATCAGAAAAAATACAAAAAAATACGTGTCGTGTAGAGTCTCTGTAGCTATAATAAAATTGTCGTGTCCTATTTTATAACGCTCTCTTAAATTCTCCGCTGTCGCGGTAATCCGCAGTCGCTCCGCAAACATATATATTTATTTTTTTTTTATTTTGATGAAAATGATAAGATAATAGAAAAATTATGTAAAAGAATATATATGTTCAACTAGAAGAAATTAATAAAAAGACAGATACAATCATTATGAAATTTGATAAAAGAGAAAAGCTAAGGACCGTGGCATAGGTTGTTATTACGTAATTAAAATTAGGACATAAATTTAGAACGGAAAATTTATATATTCTTTAATAATTGATAGCAAAAAAAATTATATTATCCGTCGATAAAATAATACAAATATCGACATACGTATGTTTCGATCTAATGCGGATCTTTTTCAACGTCTTGAAACGGATCGCATAACGTGATTAAAACGCGAACGTTGCAAAGGCGCGTTAAAAAAAGATCACAACGAAGGCCGAGACATTACATTATTGATCAAGACTCATTGGATTACTCATTTTCCTTTCTCTTTATATATGGCTTTTTCTCTTGTCTTTGCACTTCACATCGTCTTTGTCTCTTTACGCTTTCACCTCGTTATCAAACAAATTTCTTTCGGCATCTTGGAGGTTTGGATGTTTGAGTGGTTTTCACGTTTTTATCGCATTGGGACTATCATATTTTTATTACAACATATGGACTCTCAACATATGGACAACTTTGTATAATTCGGATTTCTCTTTGTTTTAATAAGATAAAGTACATCTTTCCTTGATTCCTCGTGTTACTTGGACGATTTTGATATCGAGGTGAACGTTGCGCTTTTTGCTTGAATATGTATATCGCCATGCGCATATACATACTTTTATTTATTTTTATTTTATCATATTTTGTACAAGTGCTTTTTATTTTTTAATCGTTATTATTTTTTTGTTGTCTTTGCGTTTTATTAGATAGTCGCCCGTTTTAATATGTTTGTTTGACCTATATTGATTATTTTTTACTGCGCGCATCTTCGCAATGTTCACGTTCTAATCACGTTCGCTTATGCCAAAGCTCGGCAAGAATTGCACATTTTGGCCGATTTTCAGCTGGCTCCGCCTAGCGCGTCCCCCTTTACCTCGTCGTCCCGCGCAAAGCCTACGAGCCGTTTGGTGCTCAAGAGCGGGCGCATGGCAATAGATTTCCACGTCACCCATGAGGTACTATTATTGACGAGTTTTTTTTTTTACGTGGTATTCCCAGTAGGCCTAATCCACTGATGACTAAAATGACCCTTTAACTAATTGCATAAGACGATAAAGTTTATCACGTCTTATGCGACTTGCTACATGCCGTATGCAAATAGATGTTCCTGATCCCGCTTGTAAAAAATCCCGAAATTGTGACAATGGCCTTGTACGACTTACGTTTTTCTCTGTCTTACTTTACGTCCACGACTACGACAGACATCTAGTTCTTTGCCATCAGCCTTATGCTATCCGTTTTAAGACATTGAAAAAGATCCGCATTGGATCGAAACATATTTTTGTCGATATTTTTGTATTATTTTTTCGACGGATAATGTTCTTTTTTTTTACTATCAATTTTTTTTACTATCAATAAAATTATAATGGTTATAACAATTATTATGATTATAATAACTAATTGCACGAAATTATAAATAATAATTGATATGATGAATATTTATGACTTTCGGGATTTTTTACAAGCGGGATCAGGAACATCTATTTGCATACGGCATGTAGCAAGTCGCATAAGACGTGATAAACTTTATCGTTTTATGTAATTAGTTAAAGGATCATTTATTTAGTCATCAGTGGATTAGGCGTACTGGAGATACCACTTAAAAAAAAAAACGCGTCAATAATAGTACCTCATGGGTGACGTGGAAAGCTATTGCCATACGCCCGCTCCTGAACACCAAGCGGCTCGTAGGTTTTGCGCGGGACGGCGAGATAAAAGAGGAGGCTAGGTGGAGCCAGCTGAAAATCGACCGAAATGTGCAGTTCTTGCCAAGCTCTGTCATAAAACATCCAACATGTGCGTCCCCCACCCCGCCCTGCCGAAATCCGGCGTGACGTCATACCCCCCCCTCCACTGAAATCCTCTCGCACCTCACCTCCCCTGAAAATACCAGCGTCAGAACCGGCCCTATTATCCTACTTCTATCGAGATCTTCATTTCTCGCTGGATCTATCGAGATCTTCATTTCTCGCTGGATCTATCGAGATCTTCATTTCTCGCTGGATCATATATATAAAAATAATTTTCTCCTTAAATTCTTACAGTTTTGTGAGAGAAAGATATCGCTGAAAATTGGAAAACATGTCGAATACAAATAACAACTCGTTTTACTATTCTCCGAGCGGCAACAAACAAAAAGATAAGGTAAGAATTTATCTTTCATTCTAATTTTTCTCTTTTTCTTAGATATTTCATTTATCTATCATGACTACAGAGATTTTGATGACATAAAAGATTAAGAAAATTATGATTTATTGTAGAAATTGTTAGAACCGATCAGATACAATCTTGAAGTTCCTGGAATGCAGATAATAACGGAAAATTAATTCAGACTTTTAATTACTGGCTAAAAATATCGCCTGACAGAATAAAAGCAATCGAAGAAATAGTAATCATGCTTCACACCTCGGGCAATATGTAAGTTTGCATTTTGTTATATCATAATTTTTTATGTTTTTTTTATTCCAATTGCACACATTTTTATTTCTTTATAATATATATATTTAGATTGTTATGATTATTTCACATAATTTTCATTAAGAAATATTATTTTCGAAATATAATTTAAAAAAACATTATTTTAATATTTCACACAGCACCAAGTTGTCTAAAAATACTCCTAAAACTGAATATTTTTGTCATAAACATCTGTTATTGACATCGTTAAGTCGATGGAAAGATTGCTAGAACTAGTTCCTTAATTGAACTGAGAGACATTTTAGTCTTATCCATATGATGACTAAAAGATGACTTTATTCAAAAACATTAAGGGGAACCCGTTTGCCTATATTCCCCATTGTCAACATTCCTGATTGCCTACATGTATTATTGCACACATGACAAAAATAAAGAAACGAAAGTACGATTGCACATTATTGCGCACATAGACATAGTAAGTATAGACCGAGCATCCATTGTATAAGCGTTAAGCATACGAAAAGAAAGACAAAAGATGTAAGATGAGTTTCTTTCTCTTTTTAATGCCGAAGAAGTGGGGAGCATTTCTCCTCATCTCCTCGCCCCTTCATGACGAACCGGCGCGAGAAGATGTGGAGAAGTGCTCCCCACTTCTCCGGCATTGAAAAGAGAAAGAAACTCATCTTACATCTTTTGTCTTTCTTTTCGTATGCTTAACGCTTATACAATGGATGCTCGGTCTATACTTACTATGGCCGGTATTCATAGTCCGATCTTATATTTGAGATCGTTCTAAGTTCGAGCTTGAAACGCTACGCAGCTATTTCATTAGTTGATGATTAGTTGTCTTAAGTCAACCTCGGACCAGACTTAAGACAATCTTAAATATAAGATCGGACTATGAATACCGGCCTATGTCTATGATTGCGCACATATACATTGCACACATAACATTATTGTTCACATGCACATTGCATACATGACATTACTGCACACACAAAATAAGAAAATCATATTAACACGCTCCACACACGACTTTATTGCACACATACAGATTGCACACATGACATTCTTGCGCACATACAACCCACACAGCACCAAGTCGTCTCAAAGTACTACTAAAACTGGACATTTTTTTGTCACAGACATCTTCTATTGACATCGTTAAGGAGTTATACCTAGTTAGTAAATCGAAAAAACGTATTTCTGGGAAATAAAAAAAAAACTATTAGGTATTTTTATTTCATCGATTTTTTATCATAATATATATTTATCAAAGAAGTTTTCATAATTTTTTTCAATTAAAAATATTGAGAAATGTAGAGACAGTAGCTATTTTCCAGAGACTTCTTTTTTCGGAGGCGCTTGGCGGTGAGCAAGATTACTCGGAGCTGGATCATATGAAATAAAAAATGCAAAATAATTTAACTTTCGTATGAATTGATCTAGTTCGTGCGCCTCCGAAGAAAGATGTCTCTGGAAAATAGCTATTGTGCCTACATTTCTCGATATTTTTAACTGAAAAAATTATGAAAACTTCTTTGATAGATATATATTATGATAAAAAATCAATGAAATAAAAATACCTAACAGTTTTTTTAAATTCCCCAAAAATACGTTTTTTTCGACTTGCTGACTAGGTATAACCCGTTAAGTCAACGGAAAGATAGCTAAAAATCGTCTCATGATCCGAATTCAGTGACTTTTTATTCTTGTCCATATGATGACTAAAAGATGACTTGATTTCTATATAGACATTCGGTAGCAAGAATATTTCAATAAATGGACTATTTCTCCAATTTATTCGCCTAATTTCTAATAATCCGTTTAATATTCTGAATCCCAACAAGGAATCCAGATTATTAAATAAATTATTTGTTTAATAATATAGATCCCTTATCAGAATTCAGAATATTAAATAAATCAAGTCAATTTATTAGAAATTAAACCGATTCAAGTCAACA